AAAAATCCTGGAGCCGCCACTGCAGAAAACCCAGATGGATTGCATTATTCACACAGTTTTATGGGATTGGTTGTCCATCAATTCCCTCATAAATTGTCTGTCATGTACCATTGTCTTTTTCTGTTATATACATACTTTGTTAACTTTAAATCAAATGTGTAGATAACTCTTTTAAAAGATTAATTAAAAAATCTAAACTTCTGAAAAATATCTGAACAAAAGTCACTAAAAAAGTGAGAAAGTGAGTAGTCATTGTAGTAGTGATAAGAGGGTTCTTTCCTCCCTTACAATGGTAAAAATAACTGTAACATAAAAAGCCATAGGTTAATGTAAAAAACAAAACTATACCAAAAGCACTATGAAAAACAAAATGTTTAATAAAGGATTTGATGGATAAATCTGGAGCGTATAATCAAAGGTAATTAGTAACACCATTTTCTGGATTTTACTAGGAATGGTTTTGTTATGTAATTATTTTTTGTTTCCTGTTTGGACTGAAGATATGCAACAGTGTGTTGTTGTGTCTAAGTCTAACAATGTTTATGATCCATAAATCTGATTTTGTCATATCAGATTATTCATTTTGTGCTGTAAAGACTCAAAACTTGTGGAGTTTAGAGTTTTACACAGATTAAAGAAATAAGCAGAAGTCCTCTACATACTAAATAGATTACCGAGTAATCCAAACACAGTTGGAACATTAATAAGTTAATACATAAATATGTGGTTTGAAATAAGTCTAGCAAGCCTTTCCAGAGATAAAATACCAGAAAGAGGAATGCAGGGTTGAACCATAATTTAACTGAACATTATCAGCAACACCATTCCATTAGGCCTGTTTACCTGTTTACGTTGTTTCCATATCCTTTTAGTCCTTACATGGCATTTGACACACACCTGGCTTTGACACTGCTAAGCCTAGTCCAAATAAAAAGGTTTTCAATAGCGGATTCACAATAAAGGGTGAAACTTCATCCATGTTTGGAAAGAGCTTAATTGTATAATGGACTCTCTAAAGTGAATTGAACCCAATGATAAAAATGAAATCACTGGACCGGCAAATAAATCTCTTGCTTTCATTGGCGCACTCTTAAAATTTAATATGTCAATAAAATGAAACTCCTAACGTATAATATGATTCTCATTAGTTTTCTATTGTTTCTCTATTATGTGTTCCATTTGTCTGTTGTTTTATTGCAGAAATTGGTTTACCTCGAGTAGCTTTTCAATGCCTGGCTCAATTAGCGATTGAAAATGAATCATTTCGCGATAATATCTTTGCATTTCTTTTCTCTCAGAAATCATT